GGGCTCCACTGGCCCATTTACCCCCCAGGTCCCTAATGGGGATACAGGCCGTTCCCTTCGGGCTTCGAGGGGTGTATCGCCAACTGGGGGGGTACTTTGGTGGGGGTCTCGAAGGGGATGGGGATGGGGATAGGGGTCGGTTCAACGATACTGACCACCGGCGCTCCTCGACCGACGCGCGGCTCAGCAGCGCGCCCCTCCCGTCCGCCAGGGCGCGGAGGCGTGTGTCCACGTAAGGCAGGCAGGACTGGGCCAGCATCGCGGCCCCATGGCCCGCGCCGGCCCGCGGGACTCGGCGGGAGGCACTGCGGCAAGGACCCGCGCCGCCCCGCCGCGCCGAGGCCGGCCCTTTTGCGGCCAGACTGGCGCCCGCCCAACCCCTGAGCCGAGATGGCTACGGTCGGGAACTGCTATTTTGCTTACCATGTCGCCGCGGCGGCCCCGGCGGCACGCCGTGCCCTGCAGGCAGACAGCGTGTGTCGCTCCGCTCCGCGAGGCGGGAGGCTGGGAAAGGCTCGGGGCACTGACGCTCGGGTGCTGGGGGACGTGGAGAACGTGTCGCGCCGAAGTGTGGTGGGGGCCAGAGCCGGCGGAGCGACGTGCGAAGCCAACGTTCCCGACCGCACGTGCCGCGCAGTGCAGTGGTGGGGGCCACCTGCGGGGCAGCTGCTCGAGCAGATCGGGTGGGCATCTCCTCGTGGTTTTGGGGGGCGTGCCTCCTGCTTCGCCCGTGTGCGAGCCGCCGTCTCGAGGACTCTGTTGGCACGCGGTCGCAGGGCCTCCTCCCTCCTCCTTCGGTCGTCGTGCGGCCTGCGCACCGCGTCGGCAGTCGTCTGTCTCGTCACGCGGAGGAGCCATGACAGAAGAGCGGGGGGCTAAAAGGAGAGGAGAATTGCATGCAGGTCGGGCATGTCCTCCTACGGGCGGATTCTGGAAGAAACATAAAAAAAAGCTGGCAGGAAGAAATCAAACTTGGCCAAACATGATCGAAGCATCGTCCCCAGACTAGTTCTCTCTTCTATGTTTGAATACTCCTCCGGTAGAGGGACATGGCCGACCTAAACCGGGGGGGAGCGGGGCACACGGAACGCGGGAGGTGCTGAGGGGGCGGGGGCGGGACAGGGAAAGGGGCGGGGAAGCGGAGATGGGAGGGCGGGGCGGAGCGGGGAGCGGGGAGCGGGGGTGGGAGGGGGAGGGAGACGAGGGGAGCGGAGGGGGGGAGCAGCGGAGGGGGAGCCCGAGAGCTCCCTCCCCCAGGGAGAGCCCCTCCCTTGCTCGCCTGCCTCCCTCGCCCCAGATGCGTAGCCAAAAAAAGAACCCCCACCCTCTGGGGGGGGACCAAAGTTAGGCGTGGCGAAGAGGCTGACCACCATCATCTACGTCGGCTCTTCCTTTATATATTCCTCTGGCACGGACTGAAGTTGATCTTCATCTTCAGCTTCCTCGTTGGCTTGGATTCCTTCGGGATTGGCCACAGTCATCGTTCATACTTGTGATCATCGTTAATCTCTGCGCCAACAACATCCGGGCCAGGGGGCCTGTCCTGCCTGCAGATGTACAGACCAAACCGCCCAGAACGATTCTCACTAGTGCAAGGACGGGGCGCTCAGTGAGGCCACGTCCTCATTCGGTGATCAGGGTTCGGGAATTTGTTATCCTCGATGGCCACAGCCCCGCACGGGGCCGCGGGGGGGGAGGGGGGGGCGAGCGAGGAGGCAGGCGGGCGCGGGCGGGCCTCCCCGTGGTGGGCAGGCCGCCGCTGGCTGCCGCCTCCGGGCACGGGCGCCCCTTGCTGCCGGCTCGCCCCGCGGCCCCGTCCCCCCCTCCCTTGCCCCTCCCGCCCCGCCTCCCTCCCGCACCCCCCGCGCTCCCGCCCTTCCCTCTCAGTCTTCCTGTCCCCCCCCCCTCCCTCTCCACTCCCCCTGCCCCCTCCCCCCCCGCCATTGGGGAAACCACAGAAGGCATCGATGCCGCCACTCCCGGGACCTCCCCAGGGGGGATGCGTTCTGGCCATACTGTCGAAGCGAACCCAGCGGTGGCGAAGAGGACCGACCTCCCACGAGGTCCCAACAGGGGAAAACTTGCAAAGGGTAGCGTTATAGGTACATATTCCTCCTCTGACCCATCGCTCCTGACCCATCCCGACCTCCGCCCCCTTCCTGCTCCTCGCCTGCACACGAGCAGAGGAGGGGGGAATGGGGGGGGGCGAAGGGCGCGCCTGGCGCGAACGCCGACGGAAGCAGGGCGACTTAGCAAGCACGGGGCAGCCCCTGCGGCGGCCAAAGGGCTGCGCGAAGAAAAACCACGCCACGGCATGGCAGGTACCGGGCGTTCTCGCAGGAGTGGTGGTGGTGGTGGTGGGGGGGGGGGGGGGCAAAGAGCGCCTGCGGGCCGTCCTCAAGACGAAGCTGGGACGAGGATATAATCGGGTGAAGATAAATAGAAAATCTCCGAGACCCCGAAGATGCCTCGGGCGCCGCGGCCCTCTCAGAGCGTTCCGGAACGCTCTGCGAGCGCTCTGGAACCCTCGGGAGCGGATTGATCCTTAGCTCCGTCTGTGGAGGAGGAGGAGGAGGAGGAGGAGGAGGAGGAGGATCCTGAGGAGGAGGAGGAGGAGGAGGAGGAAACGTCGCAAACATGGGACAAGGCGCGTGGCTCAGCGGCGGGCCCCGCTTCCGTGCGCCAGCGGCTCGGCCCGTCGCCAGGTCGGGTGGCACCGGCCCAGTGATTCGGGGGCCGCTCTCCCCGATCCGTGGGTCTGATCCGGCACCATCGCGACAGACCCACGGATCCGCAATCCCTGTTTGCGTGCGCCCGACCCCCCTTCTCCTCCACCTCCTGCTGCTGCTCCCCCCCCTCCCCCTCCTCCTCCCCTCCTCCTCCTCCTCCTCCTCCTCCCTCCTCCTCTTCCTTTTCTCTTCTTCTTCTTCCTCCCTCCTCCTCCTCCTCTTTCTCCTCCTCCTCCCCCTCCTCCTCCCTCTCCTCCTCCTCCTCTCTTTCTTCTTCTTCTTCTTCTTCTTCTTCTTCTTCTTTCTCCTCCTCCTCCTCCTCCTCCTCCTCCCCCCGATTGGCAAATGCGTGGCATCCCGAACCCGCCAGACCACCCGCTGGGTGGCGCTCTGATGCGGCATCGCTGCTCTGGTCGAACGCTTGGCACGCCAGTGTGTCCCTGTCCTCCTCCTTTTGGAAGCACCTCCTGGGATGTCTTAGCACGAGAAAATAATGGCTGTTCAACCAGATCAAGGGGCCATTCAGCCGGACTGCGCTGGATTAGCCTGGGGATTCGGCCGAATTTGATGAGATTAAAACGGGTGCGACGGGATTATGTCAGATTCGGCCGGTTTTCGACCACGGAAATCCCATCGCCAATTCTGACTTAAACCTGCCAGGGGTTGCAACCAAAGCTCCTCATCCACCTCGAGACTCACACGTCTTGCCATGCAGAGTGCGCGCGCTATGCAATAAACAATCGCCGTTCTGGCCATGGCTCCACTCAACAATGTACACTGCGCCCACTGAGTGAGGTAAGAAACCTGATGCAATTGCTGTTGCGGTGGATGCTTTCACGGTCACGACTGCCGACTTCGCAAGGACAAAACTCAGCGCGCACGTTGCACGCTGGTGAGCGGAAGATGCCCACACGGGGATAGGCATCCAAAAAGATCAGAAACGGAGGTAAGGTAAGGAGAGAGATGGAGGACACCTCCCCTCCCTCTCACACCATGCCCTCCAACTTCCACGGGAGGGAGGAGGAGGAAGGAGAAAGAGACGGAGGGCGAGAAGAGAAATCCTCTCTCTTCCCCTCCTCATCGACCCCCTCCGGAGTCCTCGGGGTGCCCAAGAAGTCACGGAACTCGACCCTCCTCCTTCTGCTCCTCGTCCAGCTCGCTCCTCCCTCTTCCTCCTCCCCCTCATCATCACTATCCTCCTTCTCGGACGGTCGGTGGATCACGAACGATCAGTAGCATGGTTGCCGCCCACCCCCTCATTCTCCTCCTCCTCTTCCTCCTCCTCCTCCTCCTCCTGGTTAAACCATGTACGATCATGGTTTGTCGCATTCCTGATTACGGAAGGATTCACGGCAGTTCCGTTTCAAAACTGGGCCATCGCCAACATGGCATGACCACATGGTGCTTGTCTTTCAGCGGGGCGCTTCTTTAGTGATAAGAAAGCTTGATGGGACGTGAGAAGAGGGGACTTGGGACGTGATGGTACATTGCAGCATCGCCGATGCACGTCAAACTTACTCTGATCCTCCTCCTCCTCCTCCTCCTCCTCCTCCTCCTCATCCTGCGAGCTTCGCGCTGCGGACCTACGTCTCCATGATGGCTGCGGCCTGGAGGAGCCCACACCATGTTGATGATGTCTCGAGCTGCTGACGTCTCCAGCTGCCTCGAGCTGCTGATGCCTCCGTTGTCTCTCCCACCCCACCAGAGCGCCAGTGGGAGAGGTCACCAAAGGCCAAGGGGGAACCGGCTACACGCAAGAGCGACCCTGGGCAAGGGTGACCTTTGGTGCGCGGCTGAACGACGGACGCGGGGGGGCCTAAACCTGGGCGCACAAGCCGCTGCTGCCGCTTCGCGGTCGGCGATCGGGGGACCCCAGTGGGCCCGCACCAGAGGTCACCCCGCCGAGGTGGTCACTTTGCACTTCTGGTCGAGGAGGTAAGGAGGAGAACAGGGTTGGACGCCCGAAATGGGTACGGAAACAATGGGCAAATGCCCAACAACACCTGTTGTCCCAAACCAACAGCGGCCGCTGTTGGGCAGGCGGCCTTCTGCCTGGAATGGACACAGGCCGCGGCGACGCGCACAGCGAGTCCTGTTCAAAACGAACAAGAACTGCTGTTGGACATTGTACCCGGGGTGAAAAACCTGGGGGGGGAAACCCCCTCGCACTCTTTCCGTGGGTGAAAAAAAAACCCGCGCTCTTTCACCCTTGGTCTTCTTCACCCCCGCACTCTTTCCGTACCCGCTTCGTCCGTGCCGAACAAGGGGCGCCTCGTCGAGGCCAGGCCTCCGCTGCCGCAGCTGCGCGCCCATCTGCTGCAGGATCTGGCGGGGCGCCGGCGCGGATGGAAGGGAGACACGCTGGCGCGGCGTGCCCAGCACGCCTCGCGCAGTGCAGCCACTGCGACGTGCGCTCGTGTCCTGCGATCTGCGACCTCCGGGGGGCCCCCGGCCCCATCGTAGGACGCCTGCCACGTCCTCCTGGCAGGCTGGAGCCAGCTTCACCCCGCACACACGCCTCAGCTCACACCCTCTGATCGGCAGGACGAGCGACAAGAATGTGCAGAGTCATGCGACGGGAATGGATGGTGGCGCCGACCAGGAACGCGGCGCCCTCGGCCCTCGTCCTCCGTGGGCATGCCTCGGGAAAGAGCTCCACCTTTGTCGCACCACCAGGCCTTCCGTGAGTGGGGCCAGGCGTTTCGGCCCGAGGGGGTCTCCGAAAGAGGGGGCTCTCGCCTTGGCGTCGTGCTCCCTCAACTCATACAACATCCAAGAATACGGGGCGTGAAAACGGCCACAGCCACTGCTTTTCTTTTGTGGCAGGCGTCGTGCGACGGGGGGGGGGGAGGGGGGAGGGAGAGGGAGAGGGAGAGAGGGGGAGGGAAGGGAAGAGGGGGAAGTGGAAGGAGTGGGGGGAGAGGAGGGGAGGAGAGAGGGGGAGGGAAGGGAAGAGGGGGAAGTGGAGGGAATGGGGGATAGAATAGGAAGTGAAAAGGGGCCCTGGGATACCCAAGTGAGAAGACACACATACAAGGATGCCCCTATCTTTTCATATCTTTTCTGGGTCTTCGTCTTCACCCCACTTCCCAGGGTTTCAACATTTTCTTGGGGAAAGACGATTCAGCGTATCTGTGTTATTGTTCCTCCAGGAAGAGGTGCGCTCTCGACCCGCGAATCAAAAAAGTGTTTTTTTTCCTCCTGAGGAAGGGGGGGAGCAGGAGAGATGAGGGAGAGGAGGACTGAAGGGAGGAGGGGGAGGGGAGGGAGGCAAGCTAGGTGCGCGCGCGTCATATCTGACGTCCTACCCCTCCCTCCCATCCCTTACCATGGCGCTGATTTTCTCTATCCGCGGACTAGTGGGTGGTGGTGCGCGTGCGTGCGTGCGTGCGTGTGTGCGTGGTTGTGGTGGTGGTGGTGGTGGTGGTGGTGGTGGTGGTGCTGCTGGTGCTGGTGTGGTGGTGCTGGTGGTGGTTGTGGTGGTGGTGGTGGTGGTGGTGGTGGTGGTGGTGGTGGTGGTGGTGGTGGTGGTGGTGGTGTGTGTGTGTGCGTGTGTTCGCGTGTGCTGTGGCATGGCACGGGCAATGACGCCAGCGCTGCAGCGGGAACACGAGTCGAAACGGGCGGAAGCGCGGAAATGAGGCCAACGCTACAGCGGGAGCACGATTCGGAACGAGCGGAAGCACGGAAATGAGGCCAGCGCTGCAGCGGGAGCACGATTCGGAACGAGCGGGGCCCGAAAATGAGGCCGGCGCCTCGGCGAGAGCAGCATTTTGAAAAAAAACACAAGCGAAAACCCGTTTCCCGGGAATCCTGTGTAAAAAACAATACGCGGGGGGTCGGATATCTTCGGGACGCCATCAGGGGAAGTGGGAGAGTATTTTCATATTGTGTAATTGTGAAGGAAGGGGAAGGGGGAGGGAGGAAGAGAAAGGATGGAGAGGGACCTGGCACCTGGAAGCTGGCAGTGGCGCGCCCCAATGCCGGCACGGGCTACGAAACAAAGAGCCAGGGAAACCTCAGGCATCAGAGATCCCTGAGAGAGACTTGGAGGGGGAGGGAGGGAGGAGGGAGGGAGGAGGGAGGGAGGAGGGAGGGAGGAGGGAGGGAGGAGGGAGGGAGGAGGAGGGGAGGGGCTCATCGCTTGGGCCTCTCCCCCTCCTCCTTCCCTTACCTCCTCCCGCCTCCCGCCTCATCCGCCTCATCCTCCCCCATTACTCCCCAGCGCGCCCTGCTGCCTCTGGCGCGCGCGGGAGCGCGTCGACCGACACGACGACGATGACAACGACGACGACGACGACGACGACAGCGGCGGCGGGAGTGACGACGACGACGACGACGACGACGACGACGACGACGACGACGACGACGACGACGACGACGACGACGGCGGCGGCGGCGGCGGCGGCGGCGGCGGCGGCGGCGGCGACGACGACGACGACGACGACCACGAAGACGATGCGGCCCCTGCGTCGGGGTGCGGCGGCGGCGGAAGGGCGACCCCGCCCGAAGGTGAGTCTCGTGTATCCGATCCCCATCCCCAGCGGCGTGGCCTGGGCCCCACTGGCCGATTTGCCCCCCTAGATGGGGATGTAGGCCGTCCCCCTCGGGTTTCGAAGGGTGTCTCCCCGACTGGGGTGGTAATTTGGTGGTGGTCTCGAAGGGGATGAGGCAGGGCTGGACCTAAATAATGCTTTTCGTGTTCGTTTTGTGTTAGTTTTTCCCTCGTTTTGTCTTCAGACCGCCTTCGCCCAAAAAAACGGCATCGAAACGAAACCGGCCCACGAAGTCGCCAAAACACCGTTTAGGTCCACCCCTGGGATGGGGACGGGGATGGGGGTCGGATAAACGATACTGACAAGAGGGGGTTCGGAAGGGATGAGGACGGGGATGGGGGTCGGATGAACGATGCTGAGAAGGGGGGGTTCGGAAGGGATGAAGACGGGGATGGGGGTCGGATGAGCGATGCTGAGAAGGGGGGGCCTGGAACCAGCGGGCGTTCGCGGTGGGGCCCGCGTCCAGGCAGATCACGGCGGGGCAGCAGTCCGCCGCCGACCCCCGCCTCGGCAGCGGCCGGGGAGGGCGGCTCAAAGGGGGGGGGTTCGGCGCGCCTGGTCCCTCCCTGGGGCCCCAAAGATGCCCCAGGGAGGAGGAGGAGGGAGGAGGAGGAGGAGGAGGAGGAGGAGGAGGAGGAGGACCAGTGTAAACCCAAGCGTCATCAACGAGATTGGAATCAACATTCTCTCCAAGCTCCGTCGTCGCAGGCCCTTACAACGGTTCATCTCCATTGTGGGAACTGCCTCGTTGGAAGACAACCGTTTGAAGACCGTGGCGGATGCCAAAACATCGTTCTCGGGATTCCAGCGCCACAAATCAACTTGACCGGTGCGACTCGACGACCCTAAATCGTACCAGATCCGTTCTTGGGACTTCATCGCCACGAATCAATGTAACTGTTACACCATATGCTCCTGAATCTTTTCAAAGTAATATTTCTGGTACGGTGATCATGGGAATCCGTGTAATTTTTGCATGTGCAATTCTGGGTAAAACAGAATAGAAGATGCGAGGCGCAATGGCGAGAGCCACAATTTGAACCGGAACCGCCATCAATCCGCGAAGCTCTTACACATGTTTGAAACGAGTGTGCGCGACGCTAAAAATGAGAACCACATTTTGAAAACAAAAAAAAACGACACCACCCTCAATCCGTGAAGTTTTTGTAAATGTTTGAGCCGAAGTTGCGCGGCGCTAACGTAATATTCACAATTCAAAAAAGAACCGCCCTCAACCCGTGAAGCTCTTGCATGTGTTAAAACAAGTGTGCACGGCGTTAAAACGAGAGCCACATGTTGAAAAAGGGCCCGCCCTCAATCCGTGAAACCCTTGCAGCTAGTTTAAACGAATGCGCGCGTCGCTAAGGCGACAGCCACATATATATATATATATATATATATATATATATATATATAAACACCCGCCCTCTATCTGTGACGCCGCTGTCATGTGTTAGGCTTCAGGGTCAGAAGTGGTGAGGAAGTCTCAGGCGAAACACCAGGGCCGCCCTGAAAACTGGCCTCGGGGTGCGAGAGGAAGAAGTTACTTACAAGTGAAATGGAAGAGGAGAGAAAGGAGGAGGAGGAGGAGGAGGATGAGGATGGGGATAAGGAGGAGGAGGAGGAGGAGGAGGAGGAGGAGGAGGAGGAGGAGGAGCAGGTCCCGAGCAATGGAAGGCGCGGCCGATCAGATCGAGCGCGCCCCAACAGAGGATTGAAACGGCGAAGCAGCCATCGAGGTAGGCTGCCGAACACCGCCCTTCCACGTTTTGACACCCCCAACCGAGCTCATCGAACGAGGAGGGCTGAGGCACTAGAGCGAGCGGGAAATCACACAGGAAATAACTTACCCGTGTGCGGATGCAGCCCTCTCATCAGACTTGGGACGGTTTGCTCCTGATTCGAGCGGATCGACGCGACGAGAGCAGGGCCAACGCGCCGAGCTTCGAGGTTGCGGTTTCGGGCTGCGCAACCGACTAGGCCCCACACGAGAGGCAGATCACATGATCTCCGAACCTCTCCACTTGACGGCCCAACTCCGAAAAGAACCTGGTCGATTGCGTCCCTCCCGCCGCCCTCCACGACAGCGACGGCGTCGACCCCCCCGCCGTCCCCGTCCAGAGACCCGTCCTCGAGGCCTGCTGCACCAGCTGGCTCTAGGTCTCGGGCAGCACAGAGTGCTGCTACCACCGCACCTGTCGGGTGGCGGTGGTCCTCGGGCGCGAGCCTAAAAAAAGCCTGGCGGCGGCAGCACGTGACACATCAGACGCATGACGCGGCTGGCGCCTGAGAGCACGGAGGGACGCGGCAGTGCGAGCCCAATGGTTACACGCCCGACAGCGGAACTCCGACCGTCGGTCGCGCACCCTGAGCTCATGATTCTCCAAGACAGCTGGGGCCATGGGAAGGGGGAGCTCTGCGAGGCTCGGGGAGGTCAGCCCGCGGCTGAAGCTCATCGGCCCTTCTGGCCACCGTCCTGGTCATCCACGACAATACTGGAGCATCCTTGGCGAATTCTGCAAGACTCATCTTGGCGAACCTTCTCAAGCGTCTGGGCAGCCATATGAGTGCGTGCTCTTTTTTGCAAAATGGTCAGCCCACTCGTTGCCTATAAAATCCGAAAACCACGCCTCGGGGTCGTCCAGCACCTCCTCTGCGGATCTGTACGCTGGGACCCAAGCACACCTCGGGACCTTGCGCAGGCATGAGCTGTGCATCGCTCTCCAGACTGACGCATGACGAGATTGGGCCCTCTCGTCGTGGGGCCCCCATGCCTGGCCAGCCTTGCAAGCGAAAGGTGGTCAGAGATGATGCCGGCATCGCTGCCCGCAAACTGCACAGCCATGCGCGCCGCGTGAAACTCCGCTCGTGGCACGGTCTGGATGAGACCTGGGAGTGCTCCAAACGCAGCTCTGAGAATGATGCCTGACTCGTCGAGCTGAACGACAGACCACCCGCAACGCGTGAGTAGGAGTCGAAGAGTTAGTAGAGCATAAGAAAGGGCGATACCGACAGGAGGATAATCAGAAAGAGGAACGTGAATTCGGGGGAAAAGAGAAGTAGGTAAGGAGACTTGGGAGAGAAGATTCGTGGCCCCCTCGAGCACGACGAAGGGCGACAGCAGAGGACGAATGAAGACAACACACTGCCAACGAGCCGCCGCCACCGAGGGCCGTCGAGGCCCGCCAGTGGGGAAGAGCTCCGGGGATGGGGAGGAGAGCGCCTCCGCCCACCTTTAAGGGAAGATTAAGTGGCATAAACATAAAAACTCGGAGGTCCGCGCGGATTTCTCGGATCGGCGCTGGACCCCCCTCCCTGGCGCGCTGAGCGGCGGCGCCGGAAGCGCCGCCATGGGGGTCCAGCGCCGATCCGAGAACTCCGCGCGGACTTGCGAGTTTTTATGTTCATGTAACTTCCTCTTCCCCTAACCTTGCTCCCCCCCCCTCTCCGCCCCTTCTGAAGAGGCCCCAGGACACACAAATAAATACACACAAATAAAAGGATTCCCCATATTTTCCCATATTTTCTGGGTTTTTGTCTTCCCCCCACTTCCCATATTTTCCTATATTTTCTGGGGAACCGACGATTAATTGTGTCTGTGTGTTTCTTCCCCTCTCCGCCCCTTCTCCCGAGGCCTCCCCTCCTCCTCGGCCTCCCTGGGCCGCGCTGTCGGGGCCGAGGCCCCGCCGGCGGAGGGCAACGGGGCGGGGACGGGCCGCCGGACCGATGGAGGGAATCGGGAGGAACGGAAGCGGCAGGAGAGAGAGCGGGCGGCACCGCAGAGGAAAGAAACAGCGGAGACGCGGATGCGGAGAGCAGGAGCGCGGAAGGGGAGCAGAGGGATGGCGGGGGCAGGGGAACGGGGGGAGTTCCTCCACCTTCCTCCTTCCCCCGTCTCTCCCCTCCCTCTTCCCTACTCCTCCCCACTCCTCCCTACTGTTCCTCCTATTCCCTCCCTTATCCCTACTCCTCCCCACCGCCGATGGTGTTGCGGAGGCGGGTGCCCGCGGCTCACAACGTCCAACCACCTTTGTTGGAATGCTACTAGCCGCGGGCATATTGCTTGCCGTGTTATGATGAGGTTCTGGCGCTGGGTACCGCTCCGTGTTGTCTTGCTGAGTAGGCCCAGCTCTTGACCAATCCCGCCCCTGGTGGGGCCTCCTCCCGCCCCGCCTGTTGGCTGGGGGGACGGGGCCAGGGGGCGACCTCACCCTGCGGGGTTGCGGTCGCTGGTCCAATGCTCGGGTCCTGCCCGTTGCTTCCTATCTGTTGGTTTCCCCCCTGAGGCACAGCACTTCCGGCGCTTATTGGGGGCTCGCCAATAATAGGAGGCCGGAGGACGGATTCAGCTTGTGCCTGCTTCCTCTTCGTGCACGTGTGCCCGTTGCCCTGCTAAGAGAAGCTATGACGTGTGGCAGGTCTGCCAGGGCGTGCTCGCCCGCGCCCTGTTCGGCGTCACGTGTTACCCGTTTGGGCAAAGCAGCGCTACTCCTCCCTCCTCCGTTGTCCGGCGTTGGCGGGACTGGGTCAGTAGAACCTGGTGAAAGATGTGCACCGGGGGCCGCACCCCTGTCCCCTTCCACGAACCAGAGCTGCCGCCCCCCGAGGAAAGAGCCACCCACGGCAGACCAGGTTGAGTGATTCTGGCCATTTTGGGGGCTTCTGGGCCCAATCACTAGCCAGCTCCCCTTGCCCATGGTCTTGACTCGATCCGACGCTGATTGGCAACACTTCGCGGCCTGCTCAGCAGCTCCACCTCCAGCCGCAGAGGCCCGCTGCCGCAGCCGCCCTCGGGGGCCTCCAGCACGCGGTGCAGCCGGCAGCGCTCGGTGAGGCCGCCGTGCTGCGTCTCGTCCTGCGCGGTGGGAGGTGCAGGTACTAATCCTATCCATATCCACTGCGCCTTGGACTTGCTGGAAAGCGGCGCCGAAAGGCCGACGCACAGTGGATATGGATAGTTACTCGGCGCGGAGATATACATATGAGCATCTTTCTTTCTGGCACGTCCCATTGTGAGCGTCTGGCTGTGAGCGTCTGGGTGCGAGCGCGAATCCGAGTGGAAGACGGACATGGCAACGACAGCAGCTACGATGAGGGACAACGACAACGACAGTTCACAGACAGACAGGCGGTGATCAAGCCCCCTGTACTCTCCTTGCTCTTCCTCCTCATCGTAAACACTCTTTTCTCTTCCTCCCTTCTCCTTTTTCCCGTCCCCTGCGTCCTCCTCCTTTCTCCTCTGCCATCCCTTCTCTTCCCTGGCGGCCGCCCTTACCTGCCCTCCTGCATGATCTTCCTTCCTCCTCCTTGCCCTCCCTTTTTCTCCGCTCTCACTCTTCCGTTCTCGTCCCTGGCAAACGTCCTCCTGTTCCTGTTCTCGTCCCTGGCAAACGTCGTGACGGCTTTATCCCCTGGTCTTCATGCTCCTCCTCCTCGTAGCCCCTCCCGTGTCTCCCCCCTTCCACCCGTCTCCCTCATCTCGCGTTTTTCTCCGTCGTCCCCCCTCCTCTCTGACGTCCGTCCTTTCCTTGTATCGAGGTGGTCCATAGGGCTCGGCATGGGCAGGAGCTGGGGAAACAAAGCGAGCGCCTCGCTCGAGAACTCCCCACAATCTGGCCGCGAACCGGCAAGTGCAACCGTCCCTGGCGGCTCCCCTTTTGGGGTGCTTTAGCCAGCGCCTCGCTCGATCCAGCGTCGCCGGCCTGAAATCAAAGTTTAAAAGGGGGGGCAGGAATGAGGGCCCCCCCTCCGTTTAAACTAAAACCCTACCCCTCCCGAACCAAAGAACTGGGAAGTCCCGACGACCGCTGAAGACATTCCCGCAATCGGGGCCCCTTGGGGTGCTGGAAACAACGCCTCACTCGAGGCATCCCTACAATCTGCCTTGAAAGCATAGGGCTCCAAACCACCCAACAGGAAAACCACTTGAGAGCCCACAACCTGGGCCCTCTGGGGTGCTGACACCAGCAGATCCCCTGAGACATCCAAAACGCTTGAGACATACCCGCAATATGGGCGCGAACGAGCCCGTGCAAACACCCTGGGGCCCCCCCCTTGGACCACCGCCTCGCTCGAGACATCCTCACGATCTGCTCTGAATGCAAACATGTCTTGGCACCGAAACAAGCAACCGCCTGAGACATCCCCACAATATGGGCACCAACGAGCCCGTGCAAACACCCTGGTGGTTCCACCATGGGACCTCTGAAACCACCGCCCCGCCTGAGACATCCTCACAACCCGCTCTGAAAGCAGACGAGTCTGGGCACCGAAACAAGTGAACCGCCTGAGACATCCCCTCGGCGCGATCGGGCCCGTGCAAACTCCCTGGCGGTTCCCCACTGGGAAAGCTGAGACCACCGCCTCGCCTGAGACACCGTCGCACTCTGCGAGTCTGCGTGTGACCGATTATGACAATGCGTCGGCATGGATAGAATGGTGAGCGAGTCTGAGTGTGAGTGAGTGTGAATACTAATGAGTCTGAGCATGGGTGATAATGAATGTGTGTGAATGTGAGTGAATATGAATGTGAGTATGCCTCAGTGTGGGTAAGTCAGAGCGTGAGTGAATCTGCGTGAATGCGTGCGAGTCTGCGAACATCTGCCTGCGTACGAGTCTGGGTGAGAGCGAGTCTGAGTGTGAGTATACCTCCTGGCGGCTTCCCCTGGGGAGTGCTGAGTACTAGTGAGTCTGAGTGTGAGTGGGTGCGAATGGTGATGAGTAAGTCTTAGTGAGTCTGAGTGTGAGTGAGTCTGAGTGCTGATGAGCCAGTGCGAGTATACATGATACAAGTGGGTATGAGGGTGAGTAAGTCTGAGTGTGAGTAGATCGTGAAGTGAGTGGGTCCGAGCGTGAGTGAGTCTAAGTGTGAAAGATTCTGACTACGAATGAGTCTGAGTGCGGCTGAGTCTGATCGCGAGTGCATCTGAGTATGGAAGAGGGGGAAGTGAGAGGAAGGAGTCGCAGGCGTCTGACTCATAACAAGAGCCACACCTCAAGATATTGGGGAAATCCGTCGACCCGTGGGCGCGTGGAAGATGATGGCTTCGTCGTCATCGTCGTCGTCATGCTCAGAATGCCGCCCACCCGGGCCCCAGGGGATTCCGAAAGGGGTTCGCCAACGGAGGAGGAGGAGGAGGAGGAGGAGGAGGAGGAGGAGGAGGAGGAGGAGGAGGAGGAGGAGGAGGAGAGAGAGGAGGAGGAGAAGGAGGGGGAGGTCCCGCTTTCGGGGTCGGCGGCACGGGCCGTGACGCCGTCGCAGTCTGGCCCCTGTGGGGCCCCACGCACTGCTTCCCAGATCCACTGCGCCTCGAGATTATGCGGAAGGGAGCCGGAGACAGTCAGCCCAAGAAATAAGGAGGCACGATACACCCTGCGAAATGCTTAAGAAATCATGGGTTAAGAAATTCACAATCTCAGAACTTGAATAAAAACCCAGCATTTCTATTAACATCTTAATATTTACATTGAAACGTGAAGAATAATCGAGACTCTGGCCGAAGACTTAAGTTTTCTTAAGCATCGCCTAAGGTGTAAGGATGCAAGGGCCTTGGAAGGCCATGCCGACACTTTGCGAGCGGGGCACGGCCAGCGAAAGCGGCCAAGGATGCGCCGGAGGGGAAGGCCGCAAGGGGGATCTCAGAACTTCGCTCATCCTTGCTATGCGGGTTGCCTGTATGGATGTACACGTCGTTCATGTCTAATCGTGCTCATTTATAATTGTCTCGTTTCTACCTGTTCCTGGCCCCCTAGTGGCCAGGAAGAGGCCCAGTATAGAACACTTAGGAATTAAAGGATCGTGCCCCCTAAAAAGCAAGAGCTTTCGAACAAATTAGGAGTGAACCATGTGTACACCTTGCCCACAGCAGAGGTCACGGGGCCAGACTCGGGGCTCTTAGGGGGGACGGGGGCTCGGAGGCCCCGGCTTCCAGCGGTGGCTTCGCAGGGGCCCCGCAGGACCTCGGAGCAGTCTGGATGACCTCGCAGTGGGCCCTCGGAAGGAGACATTGGGACGCCCCGGGAGGCTTCGGGGAACCTCGGCAGGTTGCGCTGGCCCACTGGCCTCACGGCCGCTGGCAGCTGTAAGCTCGGCCGGTCCCTTATCGCACCAGCATCGCCGGCGGCATCGAGAGCGCGCGACGCAAACGTCTAAGCGGCTTCGCGCGCGCCTCACCGGGATGGCGCTTCTTGGAAATGTGGTATAGGGTGTGTCTCGCATGGGGACGCCAATGTGGGACGGATGTATAGGGCAACGTTGTTTTATTAGAAACTGCTCATATGACGCGAATCGACCAACGAACTGCTAGAAAAAGCGGCCCGATGGCCAGGCCTAATAGTGAGGTGCTCACGCGAAGTGTGGTGCACACATGCACTCTGGTGCCCAAAGGCTCGGTGGTGATTACAAGGTCTGTGGTGCTCACACGCGCTGGTGCACACAAGCGCAATCCTGTGGTGATAATGTGCGCTGCCTTGCTCACGTGCACTTCGGATTTCACACAAGAATTTCGATGCTCCAGAGAGCTGTGTGATCTTAATTCGCTCACTGGGAATTTCAGCATCTGTGGTGCGGTCGCAGGCAGTCAATGTGATGCACAGCGGTGTTGCGAATTGAGCACGCAATATGTGGTGCTCAAGCGATGTGTTGCCCATTTGCATCGTGGTTTTCTAGGGACAGACCTGCTCACGGTCAGAGTGGTGTTCGCAGGCAGTGGCGTGAGCACAGGCCGTGTTGTGCGAGACTCAGGGGCACTGTTACGCTAACAGGCAAGGGGTGATCATAGACACGCACTGAGAATATCATACATACGTGTGACCTCATATGCTCTACACTGCTCCCTATCAATGTGGTGCTCATACGTCCTTTAGTGCTCGTAGGTTACGCGGCCATACTACTTTCGAGCTGCAGTGCGTACATACCTTGTGGTGCTCGTAGTGCATGTGGTGCTCAGAGACACTACGCTCTGACACACATGTCACACTCTCTACATGCGTGCCTGGTTTGTCGCTCCTTTGGACGCTTTGCGGCGCTGCTTCAAACAATGCGCAAACATGTGCACAAACATGCGGATGCGCGTGCACTCACGTACGCACGCTCACCCCAGAAAGCATCAGCTTGGTGCTGCGTGCGTAGACCGAGTGCGCGGAGTATCGCGCGTCACCCAGATTCCCATGCTCTCTGTCGTGGCTCAAACCTTGACGGCATTAGCGGCCTTGCGGTGGAGGGGGTGGAAAGGAGGGGAGGAGCGCGCATGAAGCGGAGGATAGAGGTAGGAGAAAAGAGGATCGCCAGGATGGACAAGTAGTTCTTCTTCTCGTCCGCATTGTTCTCCTCTCTCTCCTCCTCCTCCTCCTCCTCCTCCTCCTCCTCTCTCTCCTCCTCCTCCTCCTCCTCCTCCTCCTCCTCCCCCTCCTCCTCCTCCTCCTCCTCCTCCTCCTCCTCCTCCTCCTCCTCCTGGCAAGTGGCGAATGCTGCAGTGACGACGACGGCAACGCGCCGGTGTGCTGGGGACGGCCGATCCCCTCTTCTTGGGCGCCCGAATTATCCGGGGTAACTCGGGCCCGGGAACCCGAATTAGCCCTGACCCGAATTACCCCTGATGATTGGGGCTCCGGACGCCCGAATTATCCGGGGTAGCTCGGACCCGGGGTAACTCGGGGTTGGATTCCCGAAAAATCAACCCGAGTTAGCCCTGACCCTCTGACAAATCGGGCCTCTGATAAATCGGGCGTCTTATCTTCCCACTGATAAATCGGGCCTCTGATCTTCCCCCTTGGGACACTGGGGGGGGAGGGCCCAAGGGCTCTGCTCGGGCGTGGCGTGTGCGGCTGGTCGGCTGGTGGCCCGTGGGGGGCCTGACATTTCTCTCGTCCTCCTCCGCATCCTCCTCCACCTCCTCCCCCTCCTCCTCCGCCTCCGACTCCTCCGCCTCCTCCCCCTCCTCCTCCGCCTCCGCCTGCTCCGCCTCCTCCCCCTCCTCTTCCTCCTCCTCCGCCTGCTCCTCTTCCTCCTCCTCCTCCGCCAACTCCTCCTCCGCCTCTGCCTCCTCCTCCTCATCCCCCGCCTCCTTCTTCTCCTCCTCCTCCTCCTTCTCCTCCTCCGCCCTCCTCTTCGTCTCCTCCTCCTCCTCCTCCTCCTCCTCCTCCTCCTCCTCCTCCTCCTCCTCTCCTCCTCCGCCTCCACCTCCTCCTCCCTCCTCCTCCCTTCCCTCCTCCTCCTCCTCCTCCTCCGCCTCCTCCGCCTCCTCCTCTCCTCCTCCTCCTCCTCCTCCTCCTCCTCCTCCTCGCCTCCTCCTCCTCCTCCTCTCCTCCTCCTCCCTCCTCCTCCTCCTCCTCCTCCTCCTCCTCCTTCTCCTCCTCCCTCCTCCTCCGCCTCCTCCTCCTCCTCCTTCTCCTTCTCCTCCTCCTCCGCCTTCTCCTCTTCCTCCTCCTCCTCCGCCGCCTCCGTAGCCATTGGCTCAAGGCTCATGCTTTTGCGGGCTGAGCCCGTATTGGCATTCTCGGATACCGCTAGTCCGCGGCAGTGCCAGAGCGCTTGCGCTCGACAGCTTTTCGCCTTCACCGAGGGGTTGGGCTCCCTCATCAGTTTTGTCGCCACGGCCAGGCTGCCCTCAGGGCCGTGGCTCTCGCCGCTTGTCTCTGCGAAGTCGGCGCCGCCATGGCCCCGACGCGCAAGGAGAACGCTTCGCCATGGTATTGCAAGTGGTGCAGGCATGACGTCACGAATCAGCCGTGGTTCAACGCCTCCACCCTTGTGTACTGCAAGAAGTGCGGCCTGCACAAGAGCAACTGTTTCAAGGAGAACAGAGCAGCGTCGCAGCCCAGCGTCTCGGCCAAGCAGCAGTCGCTCGCGGCCAAGGTCAAGGAGCTCGAGGCGCAGCTTGCCAAGCTCCGAGAGCATCCCCCTGGGCAAGGGCCAACGGCTACGGGTACAGGTGCGAGCCCTCCTTGGGCTGCCGCGCCTGGGGATGCCGACACCGTCAAGAGGAGCCGTATCAAGATGCTGGACCAGCTGCTTCGGGTCACTACTGACCCTGCTGATGCTGATATTGTGGCCAAATGGCGTGAAGAGCGTGCTAGGTTGGATGCTGAGCTCTTTCAAGATAGGCCCATTGAGCATCAAGCCAGGTCATTGGCGTCACGACTGTCCTCCGCCCGTGCGCGACAGGCCACCATCCAGGCCACTCGCGACGAGCAGCAGCGGAAGATTGACGAGCTCACCCGAGGCCTGGCCGACACGGACTCCAAGTTGCAGGAGGCGGCTGCGGAGGTCCTCCGCCTCGAGCAGCAGACTCGCGCCGCCATGTCGCGAGTCCAGCCGCCCGAGGGCACCCAGCCACCGACGTTGGCGGACTTGCTGCCCACCTTTGCGGTCAGCGTGGAGCAGCTGGGCAAGGTTGCATCGGGCCTCGGCCTTGGCGCCGACATGGTCAAGGAGCTGCAAGCTATGGCCAACACGGTCAGCAAGCTGCAGAATATGCCGCAGGCCAAGCCGCCTGAACCCGCACCTGCCCCCGATGATGAGGATGGTGATGAGTCTTGCGCTGAGCCACCTGACATCGAGATGTCCGAGCAGGAGTACCGTGAGACGCTGGGTGCAGCAGGGGTCCAAGTCGAGGAGAGCGACACCCCAGACATCGTGCGGAGAAGTTCAAGCGCCTTCAGCAGAGCTACTTGGACACTGTGGCCAAGAAGGCCAAGACGTCGGCGTGAATGTGCTCGGCTTGATATGCTGTTGCTTTGGCTTTTTGTCACCATGGTTAGCTCCACATCAGCGCAACTTGTCGAGAGTCCGCCTCAGTCATCTTCGACGGCGGCCAGCATTCTGGGCAGGGGGGGGAGGGATTCAGCCCCTCATAGTCACACCCCCCTGCCCACATCGGCGTCCAGTTCCATGACCTCGCCTGGCACTACGGCGCCTGCATTATCCCCCCCACTGGCCCGCTCCTCGGGGTGGGGGACAGCTCCGACCCTGACGGTGGCCTCGCCTACTTCGGTTGAGCCTGCAGCTCCGTCCAGGGCGACTACGGCATCACAGAGGGCTACTCCGTCTACGCCTACGCGGCTGGCCCCTGGCAGCACGCACTGCTCACCGACCTCATCTTCGGGGATTGGCGGCAGAGGGTACCGACCGTCCTCGGGCGGCACGCACTGCTCACCGCCCTTGCCCTCGGAGAATCCAGGCGGCAGAGGGTGCCGACTGCCAGGGGCCCCACCGGGCCAGAGCGGCCCAGTGTGCACTACTTTGGATGGAGATCATGACTTCTTTGAGGACGTTGAGCCTGACATGGAAGCAGATCTGTGTGAAGGCGCATTTCATGAAGCGCCACCTTCGTCCCCACCTTCTTCCCGATTACGCTTCGAAAAATCAAGTCAAGAACGCGCTGCACCTACCTCGCCTTCGCCGCCAGGGAGCACGGAGGCGAAGGTGCAGCCAACGCATGCAGTATCCCAGCCGCAGCTCAAGGGCCTCATCACAACGGTGAATGCTACGAGCTACGGCCCTCTTTTTGACTTTTTGGCTACCTATCGTGGTACTATCTTGCTGGCACAAGAGTTGAGGATTACCGACTCCAGGCTTGGCGAGTTTCAGGCCAGGGCCTTGGATGCTGGATGGCATGGGCTATGGGCCCCTTCGCCCTCTACGGGGGACTCAGCTACGTCCAACTTCGGAGGGGTCGCTGTACTTGTGCCGACATACATCATGGTCACAGCCCCACCTGATGATGGGCATATTATTTACCCAGGACGAGCAGTCTGTGCACAGATTAACTGGGGAGTGGCAGGCGGCATCATAGTCGCCAGTGTGTATCTCGTCACGTCTATTGGCATATCGGGCGAGAACATTGAAGTCCTGTGGGCCTTGGCACAGAGAGTTGCGGCATGGAACTCACGGGGCCTCGACTGGATCCTAGGTGGCGACTGGAATTCCGACATCGATGCGCTCAATGTTCGCAACTGGGTCGAGACCATGGCAGCCGTCCACTACGTGCCCGACCAGCACACCTGCATCACCGATGAAGGCAAGAGCACCATAGACTACTTCGTCGTCTGTGCCAATTTAGCGTCTCGCATCAAGGGCAAGCCAGAGGTTCAGTATGACTCCACGGGCGTGCCGCCGCCGCATTTTCCTGTGGAGCTGCAGCTCATGGGCGAGGATCGCCCCACGTGGTGCCGTGTCCCTGTGGAGCCACGTCCCTTTGCGGTGGTGCCGCCAGTTGGATGTGCTAGATATCCCTACCCGTGGCACAGGCTTCGGACAGAGTTCCAACGGGTCAGCTGTACTGACGACCTGAGCTCGCTCTGGGACTCCGTGTTGCGAGGGGTGGACTACGAGCTGGCAGGGCGCTACGACTGTGTGGGTGCTAAGGCCTTGCAGTACATCGGACGCGAGGGGCCGCCGCAGTTCAAGTGGCAGCACTTGTCATGGCAGCCGCCACGCAGGCGTACCTACAAGCAGCCGACCGTTCTGGCCTGGGCCACGGCGAAGCGATGGGCCCAGCACCTTGTGGCTGAGAAGAAGCGGCTGGTGAGGTACATCGAGCGCCTCAAGCTTTGTGCTGCCGTATGTGACATCACGCCGCTGCAGTACACTAAGGTCGTAGTGGCTTTCAACGAGGTGGCTGCCTTTTATAGGCGCGCGGCTCGGTCAGAGCATGTGCTGTGTGTCTTGGATTCTGCCTTCGCAGGCTTCTTTCGGCGAGGGCTGATCGGCTTGGTCGAGGCTGACTTTGAGGACGTAGCCAAGACCATCATTGCCGCAGCTGACCATCATTTGAGAACGGCACAAAGAGCGGCAGAGAGGGCCTGGAGGCAGTGGGCCAAAGAAGCCTTCCTGGGAGGAGCATCTCGGGCACATTCGTCCTCCAAGGTTCGGGCTCGACAGGAGGTGCTTGCCTACTCCCACGACGCTCAGCCATATCAGATGGCTGACCGCACGCTCGACAAGTGGAAGGACGTTTGGACCTACCACGGGGCGTGTTCTTTGCCGCTGCCTGTCGATCACGCTCAGTGGCCGTTGCTTCCGCCTTTGACTGCATCGCAGGTGCGTGGAGCCATCAGGAGTTTTCCGTTGAAGACGGCCTCGGGCCAGACGAGGATCGCGCCACGCACGCTCGATGTGCTGTCCGACCAGGCCTTGCAGAGCCTGGCCGATATGTTCATGCTGTTTGAGAGTTGGCTGGCCTGGCCCACGGACAGGCTCTACAGCGAGCTTGTTCGCCTGCCCAAGCCTGACGGGGACACTAGGTTGATCGTCCTCAGCAATACTTTCGTCAGGTTGTGGGGAAAGCTACGTCGGCCGCTTTCGGCGGAGTGGCAAGAGACACACAGGTGCG